CAGATATTTTTAGAGTTGTAAAGTATGAAAGAAAGACACAAGAAAATACACTCTTACAAAAACAAGACAGATTTGAAAACTGAGAACAGGGCAAGATATAAATTGAACAGGGCTGTGAGTATTTCTGCCCTGAGTTGAGGATTTGTTTTCTTGGGATGCTTTACCTAAACACCCTTCACACCCTTTTTCACTTCACATTATGATAAGGTAAAATACCTTCTATTTGTTATATTATCTACAAAGACCCACCATGAATCCATCATGAGCACTAAGCAACATTTAGAAAAGTTAGAGTGGAGAGGAGAAATGTCCTTTAAGAGGCAGAAACCTCGATCAGAACCAGACTCATGATGAGCATCGATCTGATGAGACTGTGTTGGGCTTGTAGAGTGGGATAGAGGGAGATGCAGGAAGAAGGGTTAAGACAAACAGAGCAACAATAATAATGAACGAGACAAATTTCTTGCATGTTTAAATCTACTTAAATACATAAATCAGATGTTGATTGTGATTCTGATCAATCCAGCATTCAACAACAACTATTACTTTGACCGATGATTTAAAAGCTTTGAAATGAAAATACAGCCAATGACTTGGTTGTTGTCGTTGTCGTCAATATGTGGGTGACATTATTAAGACAGTCATGAGATTGATGAATAACCATGGTTACTTAATCTAAAGTATTTTAACAGAAGCAGCTTATTAAGAAAACTACAACCAAGTGATATTCAATATGAAGCGTCTATAACACACCACATTAAATACATTCTAATATATGTATATGTAGTTTCATGAAAAAAATAGCCACTAAACTTTATTACAGGAAGAGTCGTAATCCTGAAGTGTCTGGAGGATTGCAAGACGTCCTTCTTGTCAGACCAGGTGTCTGATTACTTCTTTGTTTGACTGATGGGGACTTTTCCATTTGGCTGAGTCACACCTCAGCTCTGACGGACTAACGACTGAGCCCTTGGTTACCACACAACCATTACTGATGTGATGCAAGACCCTTGTCAGGATTGAGGGGTGAATAAAAATGCCACTTTAAGGGCTTTAATCGGGATTTTCACAACGAAAATCAAATTGAAATATTTCTGGAAAGCACTGATTTATTCTTTTTCCTCAATTACTCTTCAGCTGCAGCCTCTAAGAAAACAAAAGCAGCAGCCAAAGGAAACATCTGTTAAAGGCTGTGTGACTGGTTGCCAGCTGAATAGAGCTCATACTGAGTGCTGTTGGCTGTTTTTTTGTCTTATTTTAACCTCACAGAACTCGCTGAACGAGATCTGACACTCATAAAACGCAAAACAAGCTGCAACATGTGGCTGCAGAGTCAGAGTGGAAACATGGATGTGGGCGCACATAGCAGGGACAGATAAGAAGATTTATTGCCGCTAAGTGACGGGTGAATGCACCATTGTAATTGTCACATAAAGAAAATCAATAATAAACATGAGAGGCATATTGTTTAGGTTCATTAATCAGAGGGGAGCATTTCTTTGTGTTAGTTATTGAGGAGCTCGTTTGTAAGCTTAGCTCTGCAATCTACCAATTCACACTAACAGAAGTCGAACCGTAATGGAGGAAGCTACATGAAGTCAGGTTACAAATAAAATGTAATGAAGTAAATGCTCAAAATTGCCAAAGGTGTTTGTTTCTGTTACAGGTCAACATAAATCACGACTTTAATCAACTCCATTTTTTATGGAAGAGTGTAAGGAATGTCAGGTTTTGTATGGTACAAAATGTCATCAGTGTCACACACACACACACACACACACACACACACACACACACACACACACTCTGTCCAGACACTAGAGTGCAGTCGCGGGTGCCAGGTAAGCCAGGTAAGAGTGTCGTCCAACTGTTCCATGTTTGGGCGGCTGTGGCTCAGTTGGTAGAGTCGGTTGTAGGGTTCCATCCCCGGCCCCTGCAGCCACATGTCTGATGTGTCCTTGGGCAAGACACTTAACCCCAAGTTGCTCCATCAGCAACAGAATTAGCAAATACTGATGGACACTTTTACAAAGCAGCCTCTACCGTGTCAAAGGGCTTTGAGAGTTCAGAAGACTGGAAAAGTGCTTTACAAGCTGAAGTCCATTTAACATTTAAACCTATCCTACCTGTACAAGACAATCCCTTTAGGATTTTTCAGTCGGATATAAAAGGAATGATGCATAGATTGTTGTTTTATTGACACAACTGTTTGTTGTTTAATTACAGAACAACTTAATTTCACTTCTTGAATCACCATTCATAAATGAATTAAACATTTGGCAAGCCTGTTAAAGTCCACTTTTCCATCACATGCAGATTGTTCCTCTACTCTGGTTACGAACTACTCTGAGGCCAATTTGGGCTTTTGACTCTGTAACCTGGTACCTCGGTCAAAATTGTTTGCCAAGATTGGAAAAGAAGTTATCTGAAGAGGTTAAATCTGCTGAATCATCACTACGCATGAAAAAGGTTAAAGTCCACAGTGACCGGGTAATAATCTCTAGCAGTATGCTGCCTCTTTGTCACCCTCCTGTCCTGTGTGTTCATCGAGCAGCGTGTCAGGATCTGTACACATGACATCAGTCTTGGCACCATTGATGCCAGCTTTGCAAATAATAGATGTGTTCATGATTTCAAATCAAGTCTGACCTGTAGAAGCACTACCATGATGCATTATGCTGTCTGCTTATTTTGACGGAAGTAGGGCTCATGTTTACATTTTTAATACAGAGTTTTAGTCCTCAAATATATTCATCTAGGTTGTCCTGTTTATTCAGGATGTCAGAGAATGTCTTTGATAACAGCTTCATTCTGCCTGCCTGCAAACACGAGGCCTCCCTGTAATTGTATGATTCAGATACACAAAGAAGTTTGCTGCAGGGGCCAGAGGGCCACACAAAGGGAGCCTTGACTGAACACAAGCAGCACAATATGAAGGTCTAGCCTATGAATTGGCAGTTTTTTCTGCTCTCTGGTCAATGACATGAAGAGAGCAGTTATGGACCAAGGATTTAGAGTGTGTAGCCTGTTTTATTTCTCGCTTCATTTTGCAATTATCTTCATAGATGTAGAAATAGGTTACATATCTAGGACAGGGGCGGCGCACACAAAAATGACTGTGACCTTTGACCATGCACTATTAGTGTTGCAATCATTATAATTAAACTTTACTTCCTGGCATCTAAAACTTGAGGCAGTTTTGGTGGAAGTTGTGATGCTACTCTTTGGCCAGAAGATGGCGCAAACTCTTTCTGAGAGCACCGGCTCTGTATATCTCAGAGGATCATTACACAGCCACAGTCCAGGGCATGATGATGACTTTTTTTTTTTTTTTTTTTTTACTGCAGTCAAGATGCAGAGTGGCCTCTGACATTATTACCTGCTTAAGCCCTGAAATACAACAGCACACGAAGCACACAGAACATAGGAAGTGTAAACTACCACAGGACAGGACACACAGCTGCACCTTACAGCAGACCACCATTACAGAGGATAATGGCTTCCGGATGCTAAGGCCTGGTATGAGATATCACGGCATTTCATTACTTTACACAGGACTCTTTTTTAAAGGACAAGCTTGAACTATTTAAACTGGTTTTTCACCTCCACAAAAGATTGTGCAAGACACACACAAAACAAACAGCTAAATTGTCAATACAGAATCACAGCGTTTCTCTTTCTGTGGTTTCATTTGGACCGAGCTTTTCAGCCAGAGTAAATTCTCAGTGGATGAATGACAACACTATAGGATGTATATTTGTTGCTGTGCAGATGTGACAATGAATCCGAGTTTTACTGACAGACATTTTAGCATCACAAACATTAATCACTAGGCTTAAATCAACTCTGTTTTGTATAGTGCCAATTCATAACAAATGTTATCTCAAGACACTTTACAAAGATGCAGGTAAAGGACCTTACCTTTTGAACATTATCTACAAAGAACCAACATTATTCCATCATGACCATTAAATAACATTTAGCAAAGTTACAGTAGAGAGGAAAAACCTCCTTCAAGAGGCAGAACCAGACTGGTTTTGAACAGCAATCTGATGAGACTGTGCTGGGCTTGGAAAATGGGATAGAGGGAGATGCAGGAAGAAGGAGAAGGACAGAGACAAACAGAGCAACAACAATTAACAAGATAGACGTACAGCTTCACAATACTATTTTAATAGTATGTGTAGAATTAGCAGTAACAACTAAGTAATTCAAAAACATCAGGAATCAACGCTTCTGAAACAAAATAAATTTCAAAGAATTCATAATCAGGATGTTAACAGAAAGTTTTTATTTAGTTTTTGGACAGGCTATTTATTTGTTTATGGATTTGAATTTCATGTATTTGATTGTGGATGGGTTGCCTATGGGAGCCACGTTTATTCCCAACCTGTATAGATAACCTCCTACTCCACCACTATTAAAGTAGACTTTGTCTAACAGTTACAACTTTTAAGGATGTGGGCCTAAATTAACCCGATAGGGCAAAGGAAACAATTATCGGTCAGAGCCATTACGATGGCTGTTCCTCTCCATCTGTCGCGGGAATTCCCCACGTGTCACTTCGTCTGAAGAATGAAAACAAAAACAAAAAGCTGACAATGGTAGATTCCTTTTCATTAAATTTGCACAACCACAGTTAATACATTTAACACGGAGTAAATGTTCAAAATAGGATACTTTGTGCCTATTGCTTACGAGAGTTTAAAGCCCAAACACCATGTTATGGAAATGTTTTGATGACATTCGGAATACTTCACTTTTTAACACATTTAACCGTAGGGGTGTACTCACGGCAAGTGCTGTCAGAGGAGGCTTATAAAATTACAAGAATCTATTTTTATTCAGAAACTTCAACTACGTATTTCACAACTATTAACAACGATTTTTGTGTTTAGCAAAAGGGAACGTAAGTGATTTAATAAAGTGGTGATTGATGTCGTCCACCCCTTTGTATAAACTAGTGGTACATTCCGCTGTGAGTGGAGAGAAGCTCCTGTAGCTTCTGAGGCTTTGCCGTGACGCGCGGAGGTTCGTGTGCTCGCTGAGGCGAAGAAGAAACTAAGGTGTCCACGCCAAGGGATAAGCGGGTTAAAGACACCGTTTAAGACAAAGGTTAGTTTCATAAAGTATTGTTTTTATAAAGTAGCGACTCGGTCTTTTCTTTTAACGGGATACCTCGCTGTATTACAGCGGAGAATAACGGTCACGAATCAGCCTGAGCAGTAACTCGGAGGATGCTGCTAGCTTCACTTCTGGTTAGCATGTGTTTAACTGTGTGCGTAGAGAGATAAACAAGTTATGTTTGGCGAAGTAACATTCAACATGCATGAAATACTTTGAGCTGTTATCATCAAAAAGAAAAACACGATAGCGACGGTTAACCTCCGTGTCTGTGTGTGTAAATGAAGCGGGGAAAAGTTGAGCCTTGTGTTGTTTTCTTTATGTCCACTAACAAAGATGTGTAGTACTAAAGTGTTTTAACTTAAACGACCTGGAGTCAATGCAGTCAAAGCGATAAAATGCAGATTATTTCACCTTAACTAGCATTAAAGAGCAACTGAATAAGTCTTTGAAATGTTAACTCTGCTTCCTCAGACCTTCATGGTTTCTTTATTATGTGGTCAAACACTGCAGGAAGCAGACTCTTGCCATGCTAATGACCTATAGCATCCTTAGCCGCTTAATGTAAATACAACAAAGGGTATATAGCTTCAACATGTCTTTATATACATTTTGCTTTTCAGGTTTTTGGCAAATCTTTGTCCTTAAACATTTGTCTTCAAGGTGAATTGATAGCCTACCATAAAACTTAAATTAATTGCCTGTGCCTTTATTTACTTTATTCTATGAAACGATGACCCTGCCTGTTTTTGGGACAGGCCTCAATACCAGACAGACCTTCAACTATTTTCAAACAAAATTTGGGATGACCCTGATGAAGACCACAAGCCGAAACGCATCTTAAATTAAATGAATAAAGTTGATCTGTTGCTGGAGCTTTTTGACCTTTTCAAACAAAAATTGTACACAACAAAGATGGGACAGACTATGCAATTGTGATATTACACCAGTAAGAAAAAAATAAAATTAACTTAGCAAAAAAGTTAGGATATCCACAAACAAAACAAGTTAAAAAAAAAAAAATCTATAATTTGATCTTGCTTTTTAAATGCCAAAGTGCTGCATGGCTGGTACACATGCCAGCGTCATTATTTCCTTCATGGACAGATGTTGAAGAATTGTTTTGTATCTTCTGGCTTTTTCTCCATATTTGTAATCTGCTAACCAATCAACACTAAATGCATAGGGGCCTCTAATTGTGACCTGCCTTTATTTGTCAATACGTGCTGCTACATCAGACTAGTGAAAGGGACTGGGCCTTAAATTGGGATGGAGTTTTATTTGTTTTTGATTGTTTCTTTTGGCATAAGTAGGAAAATATATTCAATTTAGAAAGGTGTCTGATTTTCCAGATACAAATGATAATAGAGCATGTCTGACATATTTTGGCATCAGTTTTGAGTATTTACCTCAAAAACTTGTTATTGGTCATACTGGTGTGCACATGATTAATGATGACCCATAAATGAAAAGATGAATGACACAGCTGAGCTACCACCTTATGGTCTCTTGCAATATGATTTCCACACTGTCACCAATATTACCAAATGTGTTGTGGGGAAAGACACCAGGGCAGATGTTTATCTTTCCTTTTCGCTCTGAAAAGTTTGTACTTTCTGACAGTTGAGACTTTATGGACGTTACACAGCTGAACAAATGTCTGTACCACAGCTTGTTGAACATATTTCAGTCCACACATTCGTACTAAAATAACTTTCACTGCAAAGAAGTTCTCGAAAGCAAAGCAGTCACACCCAGAGGAAGCCGGAGTCGAGAAGCATTACATCTTTTAATATGCTCTAAATGTTTTGAGGTTAACCCTTCCGTTTTTACTTCAAATCATCATACCATCTTAAGTGTTGCGTTGTTTCTTTGTAGCTGACATCAGATTTCAGTCCCCAAACTAGCCCTGGCTAGAAATTTTAAAATGTAGACTTCCTCTTTTACTGTATTGTGTATAAACCAAAAATATCCCCTCCCCCTTACATCATCCAAAAATGCATTTTTAATAAGTTTATTTGAAAGTGTGACCTAAATAGAAAATTTCAGCCTGGTGGTTTTGAATTGATATTTAGCCATGTTCTCCTTTTTAACTGGTTGTTTTTCTCCCAGAGGCAGCATGGATGAAGAGGAGAAGTTTGTGAACATTGATCTGAACGACGACAATATCTGCAGTGTCTGCAAGCTAGAGACGGACACGGGAACCTTATCTTTCTGCCATGTCTGCTTTGAACTGAGCATTGAAGGTAAGAAACATAAGAGGGGGAGCGACTATTTGTTCACCATAGTGAAGAGCAAACACAGCGATGTTGAGATGGAAATTAGCTCTTCATATAAAGTTTATTTGTGCTGTCTGAGGTTCCAAAGTAACCTGCAGGATATAGTATGCAGTCTGACTTCTTAATTATGTTTTTCTAACCACAGTGTGACCTCTTCATGCCTTTAACTACCAAACATGCACACACTTACTTGAATGAAAATTCACCTTCATCCCAAGTGTTTTCATGGGCTAGCTTCGTATAGAAACAGTCTTATGTGGGTAGATTAGCTGCCAAGCGTCTTCAGTATTTAGATCACACAATAAATGACTTTTGCAGAAAAATCTGAGCTGTAATATAGCCTCAGAAGCTTTCATATTTGTTGACGTCTCATATGATTGCCTGGCTCCACACACACACACACACACACACTCTTCTTTTATCCTCTTCACGAACATTGTATGGAATATATGTGTGGGGTAATGGGCCTGTTGGACCAAAGCCCTCTCGAAAGCAGGCCACTATGATTCTGCTGTTTGATGTGCCACTCCAACTCAAGAGCATGTGTTTGAAGTTTTTTCATCTCTTAATTAACGAGTGGCCTATTTGAAGAAGAATGGGAAATCAGAAGAGGATTAGATATGCCTCTCATTCAGCCCTCGTCTCACAGATCTCACAAAGGCTGTCTAATACGATGGTGAATTGTGTGTGTGTGTATGTGTGCACAGCATGGTTGTGTACGATTTGTACATCAGCATCATAAAGCTGACTAAGAACTCCTAGAGTGGTATATCATTCTGTTGACAGGGGGAGGAAATGCATATGCATAAAGATTTATAGCTCTTTTCTATGCTGGTATAAGAGAACTGGATACGGGGGGTATTGATTAATCACCCTGTTCTTTGTGCGCAGTAAAATAGTCTTTATTCTTCAGTCTCAGACGAGCACAAATAGAAAGTTACTCAACTGAAAGTTGTGTTTTTAGTGCTTTCAAGCACATTAATCTTCATTCAACATAAAATTATCCAAACATGGCAGAATGAGGCAGTCTGTCTTTCTTGGCATGTACATCCATCAACGCCAGAAGCCTGAATACAGCTTCTATTAAACACTTTACTACTTATTTAACAAACATGCGTAATGTGGGAACAGGCCGTGGACTTTATATATAGATGTCTTAACCTCCTACCGTTGTAGAAATGTGAAGCCAAAACACCCTCGCCAAGATGCTGGCATATTACGCATTTGGAGCCAGAGTATGTGCATTAGGGATCAACTAGTGGAGCCACGGTATTGACATCCCAGCAGCTCCTTTAACCAAAAAGTGAAAACCTACAAAAAGAAGTTCAGTGCCTCAAGGGTTAACTTGAGGCTGGCTGCAAAAACCAAGGAATTCTGATAAGGTCCCAGATAAAAACGTCCATATTCACAGCAGAAATAAACATGTTTACTGCCTGTTGCAAAGAATGATTATGGTGTGGGGGGCATATTGTAGATGTTTTCCAGGCCGCCTCAGCTTCACCTACTACTACATGGAATGTAAGGTTGAGATAGCATTTTCAATAGCCAGCATTGGACTTCATAGCACTTATTTTGAAATGAATTGGTGAGGTCACTAAGATGATATGCACATATTATAAATTATAATAAAATGTCAAAGATCCCTAAGGTCAATACAGTCCAAAGCAGAACAGATGAGTGTGTAGGTTTTAAGCATCACTCATGGTGATAGAAATATCAAAGAGTCTTTTGTTAGTGTGTTTTATTTATTTTGTTTCTTTTTATATCAACACATTACAAATTAAAACTAATGTTAATGACCATTGGGGCATTAACAGCACAATAAGCGCTAACCTGAATTAAATACCAAGAAAGGTTAGCTTTTTTATAGTTTGAATCATGTCCCATTTGTTGACATGGGGGAGGTGGGCTTTATGACTTGCACTGCAGCAAACCAATAGAGGGAACTCCAAATGCTTTGGCTTCACTTTCAGGGACTGTCATGTTGTCCATCTCTTTATACTGTCTTTGATTGAAACCAAAAGTGTAGATGATCACTCGCCTTGTTTTACTCCTGAAAGTATGACAATGGAGCTTGTTTTCTGTTTTTTTGTTTGTTGAACATGACCTGCATCATCCCCCTTGTAGTTGTTCTGAATGGAGGGTCAATCAATTTTGTTTTTTTAATTAGCTTGCACAGATTAGGAAATACATGAATTTGTTTGGCAAGAAAGAATGTCTTCATCCTGACTCTGTACGTCATCAAGCCATGCTGAACAATTGCTTCGTGTTTCTTCTAAACGCTCCTTATGTAACTGGTTATCTGTATAATATGTAGCGTAGTGCCTCTATCTATAACTTAAATACTCATTGCTCCCTCAGCAGTAGGATGTTGTGCACACTTTGGCATGTTAAAAAACTTAATGTCTTAGAGGTAATAATCCAACAAAGACGGGATGCTTTTTGGGCTAATTTAGGGTGCCCTTGATTGCTCCATTTAGTTTTCCAGCCAGGATGAAAACAAGCATCCTTGGTACTGTTAGTAACAGACAAGACCCCTCAAACATTAAAACCATTGTGAAATCTTCAGTTTTTATGATAAAGCCTATGTGTGGCTGTTATGTAACTGTGGGGTCTGGGGGGAGAAGTGGAGCATTTGCAGACATGCACGTGTTTCTGATGCAGCTGAGCGAATCATGGTGGGAGGGGAGCTTGCCAAGCTGAATGTGGTCACTTTAGACACGGCTGGTTGGACACTAAGGCCGAGCCGTGTGCCTGCTGACTGCTCATGTACACATAAAAGCGATACCAGTCATTTGTCCTATGCCATCCCTCATTAAAGTAGAGGAGAGCAAAAATCCGATCAGCACAAATGCAGATAGAGTGTGCATAAAGTATAAAAAGGTAAGAATGCTTACAAAAAATAACCCTCCCAGATTCTTTCTGTCCTAAAGATATCATGCAATCTCAAGGGTGAAATATAGCTGCTGAATATTCATTGCTGTCTAGATCTATGCTGCTGGTTTTGAATATTTATAAGAAGCAATTGATGCAGAATGGCTTCTTGTGTTGTTTTTTTAAACCGGGAGGGTATATTGCACCAGACAAATCAAAATGGTGTCACGGATAAAGGCCCTCAGTTTTTATTGCTCTATACACCAACTGAGTATCAACAGAATTATAGAGTATTTTTATGAGGATTGTTAAGGGAAATGTCTCGTCACCCTGAAGAATATCTACACAGCTTTTAACCTGCATTGACTATTCAAAAGGAAGTCTTTTGTAGAGACCCTGCTCGAGTCAGAATTTATATCCTGCTGTAATCACTGCTGTTACTCGAGCACGAGTTACTGTTCACAAATTGTTGAGAAACATTTAACACATAAATACACAGTAAATAAATATAACAATAAACATGTGAATACCTCTATACGTAGTGATGCTGTTTACATTAGTCATTGCACGGTTATCAGAAAAAGTCTGTGTAAGAAAAGGTTGCTGGTGAAGGAAGTTTAAAGGGACATAGCAGCTAACGTGGTTACTTTAAATGAACTGGTTATTATTTGACATTATTTATTCGCCCAACATATTTGATGGGCTGTTAATTTGTATTAAATCGCCCTAATTCTGAATTATTCTTATTTCATTTCATTTCATTTTACACCAAAGATAGATTACAAAAAAGAATGGTGAAAATCAAAGCCGCTGAAGCCAAAATATCCTGGTTTTAATCCTCATAAAGCTTCCTAAATCGCCACTTCTTTGAAAACTGACCTAGAGGTTAGGTCACGCCCATTAGGGCTGAAGTCCTCTAAGCGGACAACATGGGTTCAAGTCCGACCTGTGGCTCCTTTGCGGCTTCGTCATTCCCAATTTCCTTCTCTAGCCACTATTTTATCGAATAAAGGCAGAAAAGCCCAAAAACAAATTTTAAGAAGAGAGGATCACGATAAAATCCATGTAGACAAAAGTTCTAAGCATTGGACATTGTTGCTTGATATGGATGGATAAAACACAAAAGTCACAATAGCCAGTTAGTCTAGGGATATCGCTGTCAGTGAAGAAAGTGGGTGTCCTCTTTAGAGCAGAGTAAAATGAGTACAATCAGTTGGCATGAAAGCACAACTGAAATTAAACTACCTTCAAAAGATGAGGAAATTGTTGGCAAAAAAACTGTAATATGTTGTTGTCAGTTACATAGCAGTCAGCGGCAGCTCGACTAGAAGACTTTGTCTGCAGAGCTTGGAAAGACACAGCTTTTTGGGAGTAACTGGTTCATTTAGTGTTTTTAATGGTTTTAATTACTTTGTTAGTTTGTGTTGTGGTGGAAGAGACCCAAGCGGATAATTCAGCTCTCGTTAAAAACCCTGTGAATTCTTACCACTGAAGGAATCTTAAAATCAGAGAAGCCAAGCTCCTTCCAAAATGTTATCAGCATCACAGCTTGCAGCCATATATATATATATATATATATATATGTATATGTATGTGTGTGTTTTTATCTCCAAACTTTACCTCCTCCAGAGTCACAAACAACATTATAAAGATGTATTCGCAGATTAAGTAGTACCCCTCATGATGATTCAATTAAACTTCATGTGTAAAACCAGTGGAGTGTCCCTTCTAATGTCTGAAATAACATTTTATTGGAACCACACATTGCTGTTGTGGTATTGCTCAGCTCTAACAGACGGCAGCTGTGTAGTTTTGTCACAGCAGAGAGCAAACCCATTATGAGTTAACTGCTTATACTTAGATATTCATTCTACCCACCACTTCGCCCAAGCTCTGCTCAGAGATTTGCAAGTAAACGGGGATGTTCAGACTTGTCTCTGTCAACGTCAGCTGCTGACACACACAGGACTCTCAGATAAAAGTAGACAGAGCTGTATGCTAACTTGTGCACCAACTCAACTTCTATTGAACTAAACTATTTATCATCTTCAGATTTCAATAGGTTGAATATGAAGGCAAGGCGCTTATGTTGA